GACTAAATTTAATTCGTAGGATAAGGAAACATCTTCTTTTCCCTATTGTTTGGCTTACCTTATCAATATCTTCGTTACATAGTCCCCCAATAGGGGCTCTATATAGTGGCGAAGTTAGAAAATTTAATAAGATTATTAAAATTTTGAACATCATTTGTTAGTGGATTGTGCAAGGCAAAGGCGGATCTAGGATTTTAGTTCTGTGGGCTCGGCATTTAAACTATGGATTCATATCTACTATTTATTATAATTTTAATGGTATTTTACACATAAATTTATTTTCCACGTCGAAAGTAGTGGGGTTAGTTGAACCCGGTAGCTATATGATGCATCCGCCCCTGATGCAAGGGTATCCAAAGTATATATTTTTTTATAACAAGTTATTTTATCTTATACATAGTATAATATTTTGGCAAAGAATTTTCAGTTAATCATCCTTGACCACATATAACTTCGCCTCGGCTCTATAACATTCATACTTGAAAATAGTCCATTGTAATACTATAGGTAAATAGTGAGGAATGCAATAAGATAATAAAATAAAAAGTAAAATCTGTTATAAAATATAACTCAAAATAACAATATGGAACAAGAAAAACACAAGCTAAGAGATATATAGAGAACGAGAGAAGAGAATCTTATTTTTTCTTCAATTGTATGTATTTTCCTATCTATTACAAGGACTTTATATAGGCATAAAAAGTGAAGAAAATAATTCATTGAATATGTCATTAAACATAGAAAATATGTCATTGAATATGTCAATAAGCATTTGAGATGAAGATCATGGAGGAAGAGTAGACATTCACCATATTTTGATATTTCTTATAACATTCCTCCTTAGATGTCCATAGATAATGTGCCTCGTTAAAACCTTATTAGAAAAAAATTCTAATAAAAAAAAAAAAAAAAACTAGTGAAGAAAAAAGAGTACACATGTTTAGAAATACACTTTTTGATTGCCTCATTAAAAATCTTACAAGAAAAGCCCGATGAGATAAAACCTTGTAAGGAAAAAGAGTACAACTCGTATTAACTCCCCCTGATGAGAGCATCAGTTCACATCCTTGAGCTTTTGCATCCCAATTTGGTACACTAGTTTCTTGAAGGTTGACGTCGATAGATATTTGGTGAACAAATCAACCATATTATCACTTGAACGAATCTGTTGCACATTGGTATCACCATTTTTTTGAAGATCATGTGTAAAAAATAACTTTGGTGAAATGTGCTTTGTCTATCTCCTTTTATGAATCCTCCATTCAATTGGGCTATACATGTTGCATTGTCTTCATACAAAATTGTGGGTAGTTAGTCACGCTTCAAACCACATTTGTCTCGAATAAGATGTATTCTACACCTCAACCAAACACATTCTCGACTTACTTCATGAATAACAATTATCTCAGCGTGATTAGAAGAAGTAGTCACGATTGATTACTTAGTCGATCGCCAAGATATGGCAGTGCCTCCACATGTAAACACATAGCCTGTTTGAGAGTGAGCCCTGTGCGAGTTAGATAAATATCCAGCATCGGCATAACCAATAAGATCGAGATTGCAATAATTGCCATAAAATAAGCACATATTGGTAGTCCCTTTTAGATGCCGCAATATGTGTTTGATTCCATTTCAATGTCTCATTGTAGGAGCAAAGCTATATCTTGCTAAGACATTAACTGAAAAAGTTGTCAGGCCTTGTAGTGTTAACAAGATACATTAGTGCACCAATTGCACCAAGATATGGTACTTCAGGACTAAAAAGCTCTTCATTCTTTTCTTGAGGTTGGAACGGGTCCTTATTCATATCAAGTGATCGAACAACCATCGGAGTACTTAATGGATATGCTCCATCCATGTAAAACCATTTCAATACCTTTTCTATGTAGGCAGATTGATGAACAAAAATCCCATCTACCAAATGTTCAATTTTCAAATCAAGACATAATTTTTTCTTTCCGAGATCTTTCATCTCGAATTCCTTCTTTAAATAATCAATTGCCTTTTGGAGTTTTGTAGGAGTTCCAATAAGGTTTATGTCATCAACATATACAACAAGTATAACAAACTGTGATGCTATTTTTCTTATAAAAATACATGGACAAATGACATCATTTATATAACCTTCATTTAATAAATACTCATTAAGGCGATTATACCATATTCTTCCTAATTGCTTTAGACCATACAAAGATCTTTGCAATTTTATTGAAATCATTTCCCGGGACTTTGAATTATGTGCGTCAGGCATTTTAAATACCTAGAGAATTTTTATGTATATCTCATTATCAAGTGAGCCGTAAAGGTAGGCTGTAACCTCATCCATTAAATGCATGTCAATATTTTCATGGACAGTAAGACTAATGAGATAACGAAACGTTATAGCATCCATAACAGAAGAATACGTCTCTTCATAATCGACGCCAGGCCTTTGTGAAAATCCTTTTGCAACAAGACGTGCCTTATATCTTTGTACCTCATTTTTCTCATTCCTTTTACGTACATAGACCCATTTATAGCCAACAAGATTAACACCATTAGGTGTTTGGACTACATGCCCAAAAACTTTACGTTTCGCAAGTAAATCTAACTCAGATTGGATTGCTTCTTGCCATTTTGGCCAATCACGTCTTTGTAAACATTCTCCAATAGATTGAGGTTCGAGATCCTCAGTTTCTTACATAATGCTAGATGCAACATTGTATGCAAAGACATAATCCACTACTATATTCAATCGATTCAAATTTGTCTCAATATCGATTGGATTTATTGATAGCTCCTTTTTTTCTTGAGTCTTAGGCTCATCGATATCCTCATGAATTTCAGGATTGGTTAAATCATGGGTTTCTTTATAAGGCTCTTTCGTAGTGTCATCTTGATCATTTATTTTCCTTTTTCTAGGATTTCGATCCTTAGAACCCAATGCCTGCCACGTTGTAGGCATGCTTTTGACTCATTAGCTATAACATTAGAAGATTGTCCAACAACAGGGACATCAATACAAATTGGAATATTCTCTGCAGGGATATGTGATTTCGTTATTCTTTTCAGATATGTAAATCCATCTGGCATTTGATTTGCTATTTTCTACAAATGGATAATCTTTTTCGCCTCTTTTTCACAAATAGAGGCACGTGGATCAAGATGAGACAATGACGTATTTTTTCACAAAATTTCACTTTTGGTTTCACCAATTTCTCTTCCTAATTTTGGGGGAAAATGCCTTATCGAATCGACAAGTGAAAAAATCTCCCGTTAATGTTTTAAGGTAGCGAATAATGGAGAGCGATTCAAACCCAACATATAACCCTAACCTTATTTAGGGACCCATCTTGGTATGATATGGCGGTGCTACAGGCACATATACAGCGTATCCAAAAATTCATATATGGGATATATTAGGTTCATGACCCAAAATGAATTACAACGGGAAATATTTATGATAATTTGTCGGTCTGAGACGAATTACCATTGTTGCATGCAAAATGGCATGAGACCAAATAGAGGTGAGTAATTTCGTTTTCATGAGTAACGGTCTTCCTATCAATTGCAGACGTTTAATCAAAGACTCTGCAGGGCCATTTTGAGTGTGAACATGAGCTACATGATGTTCCACTTTTATTCTAATTGATAATCAATAATCATTAAATACTTGGGATGAAAACTCAGCAGCATTATCAAGTCGAATAGACTTAATTGGATTATAGGGAAACTGTGCCCATAATCGAATTATTTGTGCTATTAATTTTGTAAACGCCAGATTGCGAGATGACAATAGGCACACATGAGACTATCTAGAGGATGCGTTTATTAAGACTATAAAATACCTAAACGACTCACTAGGTGAGTGAATGGGTCCACAAATATCTCCTTGTATACGTTCCAAAAACGCAGGGAACTCAATCCCAACCTTTGTTGGTGATGGTCTAATAATTAACTTGCCTTGATAACAAGAAGTGCAAGAAAATTCATTATTTAAAAGAATCTTTAAATTCTTTAATGGATGCCCATTTGAGTTTTCTATAATTCATCTCATCATAATTGATCCAGGATGTCCCAATCGATCATGCCAAAGTATAAAAGTATTGGAATCAGTAACCTTTTGGTTTACGATAGAATGTGCCTCAATTGTACTAATTCTTGTCCAATACAGGCCACAAGATAAAGATGGAAACTTCTCAATAACCCTTTTCTGGCCAGAGGCATTCTTGGTAACGATGAGATATTCGATATTATTCTCATCTATTGTCTCAATATGAAATCCATTTTGACGGATATATTTAAAACTCAACAAGTTCCTCTTAGACTTGGAGGAGAACATTGCATTCTCTATGATAAGTATTATTCCACTAGGCAGAGTTATAGTGGCTCTTCCAGAGCCTTCAATTAGATTACTACTACCAGAAATTATGATAACATCTGCCTTACACATACTTAAATGAGAAAAATATTTCTTCTTTTTGAATATTGTATGTGTCGTACATGAATCAATTAAGCAAATATTTTTACAATTGAAATTTGATCCAAGTTTGCTTTGAGAGATATCCATATTTGCTTAGTCTTCTCAAAGAGCTTCTTGAGATGGTAGAGTCTCGTGCTGATAACGTGTTATAATGTATAACTCAAAGTAACAATATGGAACAAGGAAAAATAAGCTAAGAGATACATAGAGAAAGAGAGAAGAGATTCTTATTTCTTCTTCAATTGTGTGTATTGTCCTATTTATTATAAGGCCTTTATATAGGCATGAAAAGTGAAAAAAATAATTCATTGAATATGTCATTAAACATAAAAAAATATGTCATTAAATATGTCAACAAACATTTGAGATGAAGATCATGGAGGAAGAGTGGACATCCATTATAATTTGATATTTCTTATAACATTTATAGCATCCATAACAGGAGAATACGTCTCTTCATAATCGACGCCAGGCCTTTGTAAAAATCCTTGTGCAACAAAGCGTGTCTTATATCTTTGTACCTCATTTTTCTCATTCCTTTTACGTACAAAGATCCATTTATAACCAACAGGTTTAACACCACTAGGTGTTTGGATGTATTACATATCAAATTTAGCACTTAAAAACTATGCTACACCATGTTGAGATAATTTCAATACCTCTTCTCAACTTCGAATAACTATAATATATACAATATATCAATCTCAAACTATGACAAACTACAAAAAAATAAGCGTAGGAATAAAATATATATAACACTTTTGTAGTCGTGAAAAGCTAGCCCTCTTTCGAATATATTGAGTGAATTAACCCGAGAAGAGATCTATTAGAACTTAGCATCTTCACTAAAACATGGAGTATAACCTATAAGTCAAGGCTCTAAATTTAATTTTCCATACCAAGAAATCCATCACACCGAAGGAAAATCTTGGAGCAACAATTAAGTTGTTAACGTGTGACCTGTAAGTAACGGATTAGACCGTTGATACTTGTATCAGGGTATGCTGCATATATTATATCCTATTGGGATACAACCCTTCTTCGGACCCTGTACGAACACGTGATACTTTGTACACTGGCTGCCTTACGGCAAGAAATCCATGAATTTGAGCCATGGCAAAGGAATATTCTTGTTAGATGTATCAGCTTGTTTTCCACAGCTTAAAGACGACGTCGTTGCGCCAACGTTTTTCGGACACATAAAAAAGTTTCTTGACCCCAAAGCAGTGAGCTTCTCCTTCATGTCCAAACCTAAACCCATCATTCAAAGATAACAACAAAATATCAATATTCCGTAATTTTAAATAATTTTCATACACTCATTTTAGGAAGAATCTATCATAATATTTTAACTTTTTTTCCCCAAAAAAAAACTACAAGTAATTGTTTTAAGAAACTAAACTTGTCGCTTAGAAAAGGAAAATATTGAGTACATGTTAGATAGTTAAATTTCAATAATATTATGAAACTTGTCTTGTACTACTCATTGGCGAAAGCAAGAATTCTGACGAGTTCCCAAAAAAAATTATAAAATTAAAAGAGAATGTGGCCGGTGGCAATTGAATCAGTAATCTTACAAAAATATTTGAACCCCTGACCACCTGAACTATGTTTTTGGTATGTATCGAGAATTCAAAATATAATATATAAATGTGCAAAATAAAAATTGACTAAATATTTTGAAAAACAAAAATAACAATACTTTTGCAGAAATATTTTTCACTGAGAAGTTAAATGAAGGGCGAATAACTGGAATTCAAAAAGGTGAACAGGCTCTTACTTTCTAAGCTGAACTGCGAGTAATGAAGATCGTAATCGGCGGCGTCAACGGAGGAAATCACTGGCTGCCTTCCTTCCTTCGAGTACTGCCGTAGCGCGGCGGCGATGAGATCCTCAACAGTCGATTCCAACGATATCAGTACCTGTACAGGTCCAACACTCCTTTAAATCGTCACGTTCACCAGCATCTTCGTCAACTTCATCGGCCGGAAATTCACCGCCGACGGCGAGTCACCGGCGGAAGTTCTAACACCGGCGAGCAAGTCCGGCACCGTCCTCGGCCTCCGCAATAGCTCCGAGGACGTGCTGCTGCTCCCCGAACTTTGTCCGTGAAACGACATGGATTTTTCCGATAACTTTCCTTTTCTATTCTTCTCTTCATTACCTCTCCGGTTAATTCTCGGAGACGACATTTAAAACAAGAGCTGCTTGATTGTATTTGTATAAGCTTGCAGAGGAATGAGGAAATTGGCGGCGAGACTTGTGTGTATTTATATTAGAGTACTTTTGAGGGGTAAAAATAAAAATGAAGATAATTTTTGGCGTGGGCGTAACGTGAGGCGTTTTACATATGTCTTAGCGGGGCATAATCTTCGAGGCGCAGGACGTAAGCCCTATAGGTATTTAATTTTTAATATTTTATAAAATAATATAATGACAGTTAATATTTATAAACAAGGTAAAATTGCATAAAAATTGAAAAAAAGTATATATATGTGTGCTCCATCCCCACAAAAAATCAATCAAAACAATCTATTATACGTTACTTACAAGCACAAGTAATTTGAGTCTAAAAGAATAAAGTTTTCTATATAGAGGAATAAAAAGGATGATTAACCTGCAATTTAAACTTTGAATTTGCTGCTATGAAGAAAAATGTAGTTCTCTTTGTATTTGTAAAAAAAATTAAATATTCGTTGCTTTTGGGAGATATTAGCAGACTAATGGACAAGATAAATTTTTGGAAAACCATGAATTAGGGTTTAAATCAATAAAAAAGGTCTTTACTTTTAAATTTAATACTTTTGAGTTCCTTTTTAAACCTTTTGAGTAATTACCAAACTGACTTTTGAGAATTCGGGTATTATATGAAGGACTAATTCAACAATTTTTATTTTAATTTGAAAAAGTCTCTAGGGCTTACTCCTTACTAAAAATATTACGCCCCGAACGCCCGGACTTTTCTTTGAGACTTTCGCCCCACACCATCGCACCGGGACGTTTTTGGTACGCCTCACCACGGGGCTCGCCCCAGAAACACCTTTTAAAACAGAGATTTTTACAATAAGGTGAGGAGACGAATTGGTTCGTGAGATAAGAAATAACAATCCTAACTCCCGTTTGGTCATAAATTTTGACTTCATTTTTTATTTTTATTTTTAAAAATAGTATTTTTGAAATATGATTATATTTTGAAAAAAAAATTAAAAATTTCTAGGAGCCCGTTTGGACATAAGAAATTTTTTCTTTTTTTCAAAGTTTTTTTTGAAAGCAGTGTTTGGTTATCAAAATCTTACAATTTTTTCAATCTTACTTAAAAATGCATTTTCAAATTTGAAAAACTGGTTCAATTGAAAATGGGAAGGTTGCTAGTTTTTAGTTGCAAAATATGTTGAAAAAAAGACATCCAAATATATTGCAAAAATTATAATCAAACACAACTTCATCTTCAATTCAAATTTTAGTGACATTCCAAATTTGAAAAAAAATTGAAATTCTTGTCCAAACGCCTACTAAGTTCCCAAAAACTGGTTTATGGCAGTTTTTTGGTGAAATATTTTCTTCCACTCACAAAAAACTTCACGTTTTCTTCAAATAAAATGCATGTCCAAAACACAACTTCAACTTTTAAAAATTATTTTTCAACACAACTTAAAAAACTCATTTTTCAAGTTTCAATCAAATATGTGTCCAAACGATAGCTTAGAATAAGATTCGTGATTAATTTATTTCATAATTGGTTGAATTATTTATTCCAAGATTATTAATTGCAATATTAGTTATATTACAATTATGATTTTATTTTCATACCGACTTCAATGTGGTATAATAATTCGTGAATAAAACACCAAAATAATTGTCCAAAACTTTTCTTAAAATTCTTTATAAAACTTTAAGGTTATAATTGAAAATAAAAGCTTATCTCTTCTTATCTAATGTAAAATTAAACACATATTTAATAAATTAAATATTTATTAAATAAGTTCACAATTATTTAATTTTTTTATTCTAATTTTATTATTATAATTCTTGTTTAACTTGTTCACTAATCAAGCGATCCCTATATGTTAACCTATAATAACCGAATACGTCAGTCATATAAGACGAGAAATTGCTTAATACAGCAATAAGGGGCGTGGGGTGGTTGCCGGTTGCCTGTTGGTATAACTGTCATCTTAACGACAAAACTTTAGTGTTGATTTTTCAGCGCCTTAACAATAATTGCTAAACATAAGTTTTTTAGATGCCGAGAGATGTCGGCAGTATTTCACTATTTAAAAAAGTTAGGCAAAGTGTTTATTTTAACATTGGCTTCTTTGTGGTCCACTATTTTAGTGACAAGTTGCAGTAGCGGTTACTGAGTTGTACTTTTTCGGATTTTTTTTGTTCGTCCGGGTTCGGGCTTAGCGGGCTGGATCGGGTCGTGCAATTTTTTTTTAAAGTGAATTTTGATACTTAAGTGTTTGCAAATTTTTAAGGCTTAGAATTAAACTTTGAAGTTTAAAGTTTTAAATTTGAAATTTGAATTTTATAATTTTAAAATTGAAATTTGAAAGTAAGTGGCTACAAAAAATTATTTAATAAGACCAATAGACAATATGTAAGGATCAAGTTCCGAACACTTTCATTTGATATTTTTATTGAATAATATATAATACTTTAAATTAAGTTGTAAGTTCTTTTTTGATTTTGTTATTTTTAAACTTGCAAATTAAAAGTTTACAACAATTATAAAAAAAAAATTAGTACATCACATGCTTTGCATCATTTTTGTAAGTTCATCCATGTCAACATGAGGTTCTTGGTTTCCAGCATTAGTTGAATCAGAACCACAAACCATTATATCTCCAATTTCTTGGTCCTCCGCTTCATCTACCTCGTCACGCCCTTGATTTCACCATTATGATCTTATCGAATCTCTGAAACACACTAGAATTTTCAAAGCGTTGCTACCCAATGAATGACGGGTATCTCCTAGTTGCTGCATTGCTTGACTAAATGCGCTCTCTGATGCGATTGTTGAAATCGGCACATTTAGCACGTCTCGAGCCATGGCCGAAAGAACAGGAAATTGATTTGAGTTGCTCCTCCACCAATCCAGTGGTAGAAATTCCTTTGTGCGGGGCTCTGCTTACTTTTGCAAGTAGAATTGAAGTTCATCAATATTCCTGCTACTGGTTTGTTGATGCTCCCCTAGTGAAAACCAAATCAAATAATCTTCAACACCATCATTATCATCCAAAGCACTGGTCCCAGATGTTGAAACTAAACTTAAAGGAATATTTTCATCTACAACAGAAGAAGCATCAACAATGTTAGAATAATAATTATATAATGTTTCTAAATATTTGTGTAGATCAGAAATACAAGTGCCAATATCAGGAGTTTCAGTTGGTCCAATATCCATATAAGAATACAAAGCAGTGATTAATTGTCGACAAATGGCCATTTTGATAGAAGGGTTTAAAATAGCACCAATTAGGTAAATAGGGGGAATTGGGTAGTAATATTTTTTAAACTTATCTAGCATAGATTCAACAACAGAAGTATATCCTTCTTTGTTCTTCATATTATGTAGTAAAAGAGAAATTTCAGCAATATGAACTAAACCATTTGCAATAGAAGGATAATTTGCAATATTTGAATTTGACCGTTGGAAACGGTCCAAAAAACAAATTAAAAAAAAAAACCCCGTTAAAAAACGGGTTGAACCGGGCTGTAGCCCGTTAAAAACCCGTTAACGGGTTAATGGGCTTAGCGGGTTCGGTGCACCGGTATCAAAAAACTGTTCGTTTGAAACCCGCTCCCCGCCTAACCCGTCCCAGCCCGCCTCCCACGCTACAGTACCGGGCTGACCCGAGCTGAACCGGGTTTTAAACATGTCAGCCCGGCCCGATTAACAGGTATAAACTACGTTCTTTGGCCGAGCCACTTTTGTCGGAAAGGTATCAATAACAGTATCAGTCATATAGGTCGGGTTAGTACGGATTTTCGATAACCAATTATGTCGGGTTATTAGATTTAAAAATCAAACCAAACCAATAAAAGTTGAATTTTTCAATTTCGGTTTTCTCGGGTTTTTGATTTATTTTCAGTTTTTTCTCGGGTATAAACTATGTTATTTTCGGTTATTTTTGGTTTTCTCGGGTTTCCAGCCCGCCTCCCACGCTACAGTATTGGGCTGACCCGGGCTAAACCGGGTTGTAAACAGGTCAGCCCGACCCAATTAACAGGTATAAACTACGTTCTTTGGCCAAGCCACTTTTGTCGGAAAGGTAGCAATAACAGTATCAGTCATATAGGTCGGGTTAGTACGGATTTTCGATAACCAATTATGTCGGTTTATTAGATTTAAAAATCAAATCAAACCAATAAAAGTTGGATTTTTCAATTTTGGTTTTCTCGGGTTTTCAATTTATTTTCAGTTTTTTTCGAGTTTTTCCGATAAAGTCTTCATAGCACAAATGTATAAAGTGTATACGGTAAAATTGGATAGTGACAATTGGACGAATGAAGGAATGACACGTGGAATTGAAGATAAGTGGGACACGAGTCAGCAAATAACTAGCACACAAATGCAAGTATGTGATCGGTGCTAGATGATCCCGAAGATAGAATAGTCAACAATAAAGAGTAGATTTGATATAGATAGCATTCAATGAGTATCCATTACATAGAATATCAACATTTATAACAAGTCATCAATGACGGTTTTATTCTCATGCAATAGGAGCTTGATTTGGGGATCTTGTCTCCATACATAAGTCTATAAATAGGAGAATTAGCATGATTTTATGGACACGAAATACTCTGTACTCAAAAAGCTATATTTTGCTCTCTAAATTATAAAATTATTTACAAATTTTTGCTCTTAATATCGCTTGTACTTCTGCTACCGGAGAAATAATCTCATAACCAGACTTGAATTTCCTTTAATTTCATTTCATAATCCTTTTATTCCTACTTTCTTAATATTCTCTTGGGTCAAATCGATTCACTTATCTATAAACCACGTTACAAATTTAACTGCACCGTTTTACAAGTGAACATAAAGTGTGCTATAACTTGTGATCCAAATATTTCTTTAATCCTAATAAGCTACAACTATATAAGGCGTTTTCCGAAAAAATAATACAAAACATGAGATGTGTCATGGCATTGTCCCAAAATATTCAACAATCAAGATAATGAAATCCCACAAAATAAATATCGCTAATTAATAAGCCATAATAAAAATAAACATAATTC